CTTCTGCCACAGATGAAAAACTATTTGCATCTTCATCAGCTACAAGCAAAAGGGTGAGGGCTAATGTATCACGCCAAAAAAGCAACATTTGGTGTTTCATGTTGAGTGTTGCCAGGAAGGTCGACTTGCAAAGTATAAACTGTGTGGCAAGGGAATGAGTAGCGGGCGTATGAATGGTCATCTCATTAATGCCAGAATGAATCAACATCTTCAAAAATACCACATGTCTGTATTACTGAGGGAAGAATCAGAGCAAGAAAGTATTAGAGCAAGCAGCAGGTCCCCTGATGTTGTACCTGATTTTCCACTATTGTCACAGCCTATCATTAGCAGTATCTCCACCACTACTACTTCTATTTGATTACCACCACACTTAAGAAGAGCAGTGGGGATGGCGGGGATGGTGCCATTAGTCAACACAGGCAGATAGGACACAGCCCTCATCATCCTGTGAAAAAAAAAAAAAAAGTTAATCTTACCTAGCTACCACTGCTAGTACCACATACTTTGACTTAATTCACTGCTTTAGAATTGTTTTACTAATATGTGATTTTATAAAATTATTATTTATAGTAACAGATGGATTAATTTGCAATGTATTTCTGTGCCCCTGCTTGTGCCTTGGCAATGTGGTGATGTTGCTGGTGATAATCCCCTTGTTCCATCACCTTTCATCAACAAAAATAATTATAAGTGAAATTTAAATTACTCCTGCTGCTGATGCTCCCTTTTTTTTATTTATAAATGCCTTTCATTGTAGTAGTCTTGAAATACCTGACTGGGTCTTGCAGTGTGTGTTACCTTCATGGAAGCAGTTGGGAAGGCACTGTTATTTTGCCACACTAAACAACAGTCATTGACGCTAAAGATTGGATATTATTATTATTATTATTTTATTATTTATATAGCGCCAACAAATTCCGTAGCGCTGTACAGTAGGTGGACTAACAGACACATAATTGAGATCAGACCACTGACGTACAGGAACAGAGGGGGTTGAGGACCCTGCTCGATGAGCTTACATGCTAGAGGGAGTGGGGTATAGTGACACAAAGGGTTAAAGTAGTTTGTTACAGAAGGGTTTATTGAGTGCTTGGTAGGTCATTTTTGACAGTTGCAGGAACGGAGTCATGGGGTGGGGGATGAGAAACCTGCTGACAGTTTAATTGATATGCTTTAATTGAGAAATTAGTTTTCAAAGATTTTTTGAAGGAGTGGAGGCTGGGTGAAAGTCTGATAGAGGAAGGAAGGGAGTTCCATAGACTAGGTGCAGCCCTGGAGAAGTCTTGAAGGCGAGCATCAGAGGTGGGGATCCGGGCAGAGGATAGGTGTAGGTCTTGGGCTGAGCGCAGGGGTCTCGACGGGACATACTTGTGTATGAGGGAGGATAGGAATGTTGGAGCAGCATTATGTAGGGATTTGTAAGCAAGCGCCAGAATTTTGAATTGGGCCCTATATCTAACTGGAAGCCAATGCAGGGACTGACAGAGCGTGGAGGCGTGGGAGGTGCGACCGGACAGGAAAATAAGCCTCGCAGCAGCATTCATTATAGATTGCAGCAGTGCAAGCTGGGAACATGTAAGACCGGTGATAAGGGGATTTCAATAGTCAAGGCGAGAGAGGATATGTGGTAAAGCTTTCTGCTTGTTGAGGTGGCAGGGGTGAGTGGGTGGTCAGTTGCCCATAGACTTTCCCATTTCATCTTTGCTACTTAAAATAATTCCTGCTCCCCATTTTAAATAATGCAAAAAAGGAAAAGAAAAAAAAGATTACAGTTGATCATTATGGAACACAAATGTTTTGACAAATCTAAATTTACATTGTAAAAATGCCTGATCTTGCATAGCCATTAGCCCAGGCAATAGTGTGGCCATTTTTGCTTTTCAACATAATCATAGTCCCAATTTATCCTGCTGGCTGACTGCCCAAATTGCCTTCCTGAATTTTTTCGAGTGTGGAAAAGAGGATGAGACAAATCCAAACAGCTACATGAACTAATTTCTGCTGTCCAAAAAAAAAGTCAGCACCAAATGTCTACTTTAATTTACATTATGAATATAATGTTTCATAATGAATATTTAAGTTATTTCATATAAATTTACTTGCAATTTTATCTTGAAAAATTGTTATTAATTTTCAACAGTGTACTCAACTAATTGCATCAAAACCTGCAGAGACTAATGAACATTTTATCTTAAAATAAATTGTTTTAATTTTGTTGATTCATGAAAAGCATGAAAATTAATAAAATGTGATTACAAATATGTAAAACTAATTTAATTGATTAAACTCTTCAAAATGCTAAATTCAAAACCAGTGTATGCAAATTTGTAGATTAGTAAGGGAAAGATAACTTGAAGAAAAATCCATGAAAGATTTGAGAATTATTACCATTTTCTTACTCATTCCTGTTTTTAATACATTTCAAATGTTAAATAAACATAAAATTAATAATCTAGTGTAAACATTAACAAAGCAAGTATGTATTTTGAAAATATATAAGTGTAATCTAAATGGAAAAAATTCCGGGTGATTTTCAATGACATTTTCTTTAAGAACACTGCAAAAATGGAAAACTGCTTTACTTTAAATCAGTTATGGATAATCTGTTGTTTTAAGAAGAAGGAACGTATAGATAAGGAAAAGCTTGGAATCCAAACAGAGAAACTCCTTTGTTAACATGCTAATGGTAGAACTCAGGTGGAAGGGGGTAGATTCCTCCTGATGATATTTCTGTAGTCGTCCCCCCTCCATACTTATGCTGCACTAGTGAAAGTGCTTCCAATAGCTGGGTGTATGCTCAACCCTTAGGTCAATTTACTGCTATATTAAAATTAGACCACTTTGTGATATATTTACTACATTATGACATAGGAATGTGAAAAAATCTCTTCTAGTGAAATATTTAATGTGAAAGGTAGGCTCTAGTTTATTTTTGTATATAGGTTTGAATCAAACTAGCTTAATACATATTAATGAAGTGACATGAGATTTTTCAATTCACCACATCTCACATAAATGTTCCAGTTGAATAAACTCTTATGTAGAATACAGGGAATGAAAGCTCACATTTTGAGGATTATCATGGTAAAAAGACAAATATATTAACAATAACTACACTAAATGGTATTTTGTCTCATACACTAAGGCCTTTAATTAGTCATATTTGATTGAGGTATAAATCATTAGTGTTCTGTTTTTGAAGCAGTGGCAAAACTGCCAAGGTCCCAACAACGACTAGACCCCTTAGTGCCGCTAGTCAGGGGGCCACGAGGAAAGAAAAAGCATAGGAGTTTACTCACCTGCTTCTGCTGCCCTGCAGAAATTCCAGCAAAAGCTCTACTCCTCACTTAGGTCCCTGGTGGTCCGGTGGTGATATTTAGCACTCTGCACCCCTTCTGGTAACCGTCTATGATATACTCTCAATTGTGTCTCCGGCACTCAATTAGTGAGTCAAAGCTCTGTGGAGGGGATTTTCACACCCTAATGTAACTAAACCCCCACTATTTTTGCCTAAATTAGGTGTTTATATATAAAAAAAAAAGCTAATAAAATCTGTGAGCTTTGAGGTTACAGTTTAGTGGATGAGTGAGTGCACTGGATCTTGTGAATCATACCCCAAAATATACATTATTTTTACTTTTTGGTCATCTTTTAGGAAGATGAATTACTGAGTATATTGTCTGGCTTTTTTTAAATTCCCATAAGCAGGTTATTTCACCAATTTTTTATTTATCTATTTTTGTCACACCTACTAAATATGATTAAACCTTTTCCCTACATGATATTTTAGAAAATTATTGCAGTATATACATTTTATCACTCCAATATTACTGTAAACTTGTATCTTCTTTCCTTTTTTTCTTTCCTTTTTTTTCTTTAATTTTTTTCCCATTGTGCAGTTTATGAAACAGAACTTTGGTCATGATACAGAATATATTTTATTAGGAAATCCAAGAAATAAACAAAATTATTTTTTTATCCTATGTTTATATAAAAGCTTTAATAATTCACTACAATTTATATATTGTGTACTAGACTTGTAGAGTCATTTCATTACGATCTGCAATGTGTCCTAATTTGGTCCCGTCGAATGATTCCCTGAACTCCATGCTTAAAAGAAGCCAAATCATGAACCAAATGAAATACACAATGTTCTTTTTGATTTGTGATTCTAAATTTACTGGTGCCAAAAAAGAGATGATTGATGGGAACAGTCTTTGAATGTTGATTTTATTTACAGATCAAGTGAGACGTGCTCAATAGAGGGGAAAATAATATTAATATATGGTGGAAAAATGTGCCTATCAGTGTACAATAAAACACATACATGATATTTACATTATGTTTACATTTTGCGGTACACTGGTTGGACTATTATAATGCTTTTTAGTTAATTTGATTTGTTTTTTCAGTAACTATAATTCAACTGAGCAAAACAGTGAGTTTGCTGAAATTTGGCCAGCCTGAAAAAAAAATATTTTCATTAGAAGTGATTCAGATTAAATCATTTTTTTCTGCCATGCTCAAGTCTATTGTGTACATTCATTATTTTACATATTTACATCAAGTGATTATCATTCACCTTTAAAATATTGTCAATCAATATAATTAAACCAATCACAGTGCTCAAACAGGGAAGTCTCACTTCACACAATACTTGCCCAGCCTGTCAAAGTGCTGCTACTGGTTCTAAGGGTGAAGTAAGAGGAGATCCTACTCACCTGGTGTTTACCAGTGTTATTGGGGAATTTGCAGTCTAACTGATTTTACCAATACAGAGGCTATTACAGTCAGGGGAAAAAAGTATTTGATCCCCTGCTGATTTTGAACGTTTGTTCACTGACAACGAAATGATCAGTCTATAATTTTAATGGTAGGTGTATTTTAACAGTGAGAGACAGAATAAAAAAATAAACCCAGATGCATATCAAAAAAGTTATACATTGATTTGCATGTCAGTGAATGAAATAAGTATTTTATCCCCTATCAATCAGCAAGATTTCTGGCTCCTAGGTGTCTTTTATACAGGTAACAAGCTGAGATTAGGGGCACTCCCTTTAAGAGAGTGCTCCAAATCTCAGTTTGTTACCTATATAAAAGACACCTGTCCTCAGAAGCATTCAATCAATCAGATTCTAAACTCTCCACCATGGGCAAGACCAAAGAGCTGTCCAAGGATATCAGGATCAAGATTGTAGACCTAGGGGGCAGGGCCTGGCCTCAGAGCAGAGAGGACGCCTGCCTCACAGCTCTGGCTAACAGGAACGGTTAAATCGAGATAAAGCAAATAAAACAATGACAAAATGACAAACAAAGTTTACCCAGCGCAGGGGTACACTGGGGTGCACATGCAGACACCAGCCAATCTACATTTTAAGAGGTACGCACCCAGCACCCTGGCAAGGCCTACCAATATAGCAAACACGAGAGAGACGGCCGCTCTCCTGATGCCCAAAACAACTGGAAACCTGTCCTGGAGCCCTCGTTCCTCCCCCCATCCCCCCAATATGTCCCGGTGGGGGTTATCCCAGGCTACCCCTGTGAGACTGCCGCAATGTCTGGAGGTCACGACTAAGACCTACAAAATGGTGGATGACTCGAGCAACACAGCCATCTGCAATGCCACCAGAGAAACGGAGGCCTGACTCAACTACATCTTCGGCTTATTCTGGAAGAAGCTAGAGGTACTTCTTGGGCCCCTGAAACCAGAGATGCCACCCGACAGCACAATACAGGGCCGGATACGGGAGGTCACAGAGAGAGGCAAAGGGATCCCCCCAAACTTTACTCCCAAGACGGGTAAGCATCAGAAAAGGACCACCCCTGAAACCGCAGTGTGGAAACACACTAAGACCAACCATAGCCAGGGACCAGCCATCCAGATGCCCCTAGAGTCTTACCTGCCTGCACAAGTACTCAGGAACCCCAGCGGCAGTTGCATTTCTCAGAGCCCAGAGGTAACCCGCAACAAGCAGCAAGGACCACAGAACTGCCAACGGAAGAAGGCTGTGTATGAACATTCAATGCAGAAAAGCACCCACAAATCAGGTGGGAGATCCCCCAGCCAGACAGCACTACACAACGGAAGGCTGAATGCCCCCCACTGTCTGACATTGCATCAAGGCACTTATTTGCTGGGACTTAACTCACTGAACTGGTTACCTAGCTCCACTTGCCCTTGAAAGGCATTGGCTGAAGGGCACTTGGACTATCCACATATGAGGCACCAGGCTCAACGTCATGCTGAAATATCCTGCCTCTCCATACTCCCCAGCAAATGTTTACCGGACTCCCACACCTTTTCCAAGGGGCCTTATGGGGAAGACCCTACATACAGACCAAATCCGCCATCAAGATTTATGTTACTATGTGCATTTTCTGTTTCTCATGTAAAGTTATATTATGTTTTTTTTTTTTGTTTTTTTTTATTCCACTACAGTAGATCAAGCTAAATCTATTTGGTTCAAAAGGTAACACGAGCAAAACAAACACTGGGCAACTGATACACAAATGCTTTCACACACTGCTTCAGTATCAACCTATCCTTAGTCGGAGACATGTAGACATGCACACGCCAATTTAACTGTTACTGACACCGCCAGACTGCACCATAGTTCTCTCATGCTATAACTACAAAATGCGCAGAAACAGCTACTGAAACTATAGACACGTACATTCATGCTTGTTAAACTATCCAATACTCAATACATCAGTTAATATAGCTTCCTTACCACACCAGACTGTTTACCTCTCCTACTGATATTTGTTATGTTATTGTTCCTCACCTGTTATTTCAATATAAAAAATTGCAATTTCTATTAATGCCTTACTAATAATACCCTTTATCGGTTTTACTATGCTTCATAATGCTGTTGTGGCATATAAAGCTTGATTGTTGACACTTGCACAATAAAAATAAAGAATTTAAAAAAAAGATTTAAAAAAAAGATTGTAGACCTACACAAGGCTAGAATGGGCTACAAAACCCTCGCCAAGTAGCCTGGTGTGAAGGGGACAACAGTTGGTGCGATTATTTGCAAATGGAAGAAACACAAAATAACTGTCAGTCTCCCCTGGTCTGGTGCTCCATGCAAGATCTCACCTTGCAGAGTTTCAATGATCATGAAAATGTTGAGGAATCAGCCCAAAACTACACGGGAAGATCTTGTTAATGATGTCAAAACAGCTGGGACCATAGTCCCCAAGAAAACAATTGGTAACACACTACGCCGTGAAGGACTGCTCAAGAAAGCACGTATACAGGCCCATCTGAAGTTTGCCTATGAACATCGAAATGATTCAGAGGAGAACTGGGTGAAAGTGTTGTGGTCAGATGAGACCAAAATCAAGCTCTTTGGCATCAGCTCAACTCGCCATGTTTGGAGGAAGAGGAATGCTGCCTATGACGCCAAGAACACCATCCCCAGCGTCAAACATGGAGGTGGAAACATTATGCTTTGGGGGTGTTGTTCTGCTAAGAGGACAGGACAACTGCACCGCATCAAAGGGACGATGGAGGATGCTATGTACCATCAAATCTTGGGTGAGAACCTTAGACAGTGCATTGAAAATGGGTCGTGGATGGGTATTCCAGCATGAGAGGATTTGCAAAGAGGAGTGGGACAAAATCCAAACCTGGTGGCCAACTACAAGAAACGTCTGACCTCTGTGATTGCCAAGAAAGGTTTTGCCACCAAGTACTAAGTCGAAGGGGTCAAATATTTATTTCACACATTAACATGCAAATCTATTCATATCTTTTTTGACGTTTTTTGTATTTGTTTTTTGTTATTCTGTCTCTCTGTTAAAATACACCTACCATTAAAATTATGGACTGATCATTTCTTTGTCAGTGGGCAAATGTTCAAAATCAGCAGGGGATCAAATACTTTTTCCCCTCACTGTATGCTGCTTAGTGAATCAAATTTAAATCGTGTTTCTATTTGTTTATTGACAGAGGATGAAAAAACAATTCCATTTTGATTTTTAACTTGCATGACCCAAGCTCTTCAATTTATTTAAAAGTGTCAGAAGCAATGTTCCCTCTAATCTAATTCTTATTTAGTGTATGCAGAAATTTTCACTTGTGCAAAATGTTTTCCTAATCCAATATTTTGAGAATTAATGTTTATGTGAATGTAAACCTGAAACGGTTTTTCGATAATTTTGGCACAGCCACTCTCTCATGGTTTAACATTACATTACTGTATTACTATGTGATAATGTAGTATTATTAGTTACACAATAGCATTACTGTAATGTCAACTATTCAGACAGACAAGCCTCTCTACTAATGCCCATTTTGGTCTGTCAGACAGTCCACAGAAAGCAATAGGGGGCAACTGCGCAGATAAGGGTACATACAATCAAGAAACATTTTACAGCTTGTTGCCTATATACTTCACCATGAAGCTTCAGCCCTACTTTCACCACAGCAAAGAGTCTCTACTTAGGCAATTTAGGCAGCCGCCTAAGGCGTCGCGCTACCTGGGGCAGTCGCCTAAGTCGCTGTGGGGTAGACTGACCTGTCGGGGTCTTGGTCCATGAACAAGGGCACGACAAAGGATGGAAACCCGGCAGCTTGCCCTGTACAGACTGCAGCCTGAAGTTTCTCACAATATGCAGCCAATCAGAGCATTGCCGTGGGTTACCACAGCAACACTGACACTTCTGGACATCGTGAGACTCCTTTCACGTGGTCTGCAGTTCTGCACTAAGAGGAGTTGCAGACCAGAGAGCCAGTGCAGCAGACCATCTGGGAATCATTTAGGTAAAAAAAAAAAAAAAAAAAGGTATTTTGGACAGTACAACCCCCAATACAAACTGTCACCTCCTTCCCACTCAGTGTCAACCCCCAATACACACTCTGTCAACTCACTAATACACACTGCCATCCCCTCCACATTCTGTCACTACTTCCACACTGTCATTCCCTCCACACTATCTCCCTCAATACACACTGTCACCCACCCCCTATACTATGTCACTCCCTTCACACTCACTGTAACCTTCATCACAAGCTGTCATCTTCGCCACACTCTGTAACATCCCAATACATAATGTCATCCCTACCGCACACTCTGTCACGCTTCGCACACTCTGTCACGCTCCACACTCTGTCCATTCCTCCAAACCCACTGTCACTTCCCTACATTTTGTCACATCCTCCATATACACTGTCACTCCTTCCACACACTGTCACCCCCTCCACACTCTGTCACCCCCACACACAATCTGTCACTCCCCACACACACAGTCAACCCTCCACACACTGTCACCCTCTCCACCACACACACTGTCACCTCCTCACTGTCACCCCTTCCACACACACTGTCACCCCATACATACTGTCACCACACACACACTTTCTCCCCTGCCACACACTGTCACGCATCCCCACTGACACTGTCACTACCCCCACACTGTCACCCTTTCCACACACTGTCATCTCCTTACACTCAGTCACTCTTCCACATACACTGTCACCCCTCCACACACACTGTCACATGCTCCACACTCTGTCACCCATCCACACACACACAGTAACCACCTCCATACACTGTCACCCCTCCCCATTCTGTGACCCACTCTTCACACACACTTTCACACAACCTGTCACCCCTTCACACACATGGTGAGCCCCACACACATTGTCTCCCCTTCCACACACTGTGACACATCCCCATAGATACTGTCACTAGCCCCTCACACTTTCATCCTGCCACACTCACATTAACTGCTCTTGGTCCAGTCACCCTCCAACAATGCTGCTCCACTCACCTCCCCTCACTCTGCCACACTCACAATATTACATTAACCCCCCAATCCTGTCACACTCACCTTTTCTCGCACTGTTAATTTCACCTCCCAGCCTTGTCACACTCATCCCCCTTCACTCTGTTACATTAAGACCTTTCACACTTATTTACCCTGACATGCCATACTCACCCTGCCTACTAAATCCCCCTAATCATGTCATGCCCACCTCTCCTAGTCCTGTCACACTCCCTCTTCCAACCATGCCACATTAACTCCCCACCCTACCCCACTCACCCAATCACATCAATTAATCCACCTTAATCCTGTCACATTCACCTCCCATTGCCCTGTCATACTC